AGAGCCGCCGTCTGGGACGTAGAGCTGGTAGAAGGATGCCAGTTGTTAGCCAAGCTTGCGGCCAAGTTTTTGGCCCAGCTTGTGGCCTCGATGGTCTCGTCTGAATTTCGGGACAATGTCGGGGTCGAGTACCTCAAGGAAATCGGCCTGGGGCTGTGGCACTACCACGGTTTGTCGGTCCCAGAGGTCCCTGAGGCGGCGTCCATAGAACCTCCAGGGCCCGCCTCAGAGGACCCCGTCTGGCTTCTAGACAAGGGTGTTCAGCCCTGGAGAGTGAATGGGCACGGCGTGGTGCAGAGCTCGGTGCCCAATGACTCCCCGATCATTTATTGCCCGTCGTGTTGGCAGTATGCGGCCACCCCGATGCAGCGAGGTTTTGTGGGTGTCTGCAAGAGGCCCAAGAAGCTCTCGAGTGGGTCAGCGTACACTGTCCGAAAGAGGTTGAAAGAAGGTTTTCATCCTGTGTTGCACCCTCTAGTGGCGCTCGGGCCCTCGGAGGCCCCGTCCGCGGAGACCAGGGGCCGTTTCTCCAGGCATTTCGGGGAGGCCCTTGGTGGGGCGGCCGCGGCTCCAAGAGCGCCGAGGGTGGTCCCTTTTTCGAAGCAGGCCGTGGCCCCTCGCCTCGGTTTGGATTCCGTGCTGCTCGCTTTTGGGTTCAGCTCCAGAGAGGAGGTGCAAGAGCTTGGTCGGCAGGTGCTCCTTGATCGAGCCTCTGCCCAGGCCAGGGCGGCGAGTGCCGCGGACCCAGAGGCTGAAGTGTAAGTTTCTGGGGGGTGGGGGGCCCTGTCGGCTGGGCCCGCCCGAGGTGGGTCACAGCCTCGGGCGGGAACAATAAGTTCTCGTCTGAAGGGCGCCCCCACCCCAATTTTCCTCTCTTCCCCCCTGACCCTCTCCCCTCTATGGGCGGTGAACCACCTCCTCCTCCTCCTCCTCCTCCTCCTCTTCCTCCTCCTCCTCCTCCTCCTCCTCCTCCTCCTCCTCTTCCTCCTCCTCATCCTCCGTTTTTGTTCCTTATAAATAACTTATGACTGTCGCACCCCGAGGCCAGTTTCTTTGGCGGGCTGTGCGTTTCGCTTGAGATTATGCTACCACTTATGACTCTGAAGCTTAAATACTGACAACAGTTTCCCATATGGTGGGCGGGTGGCTTTAAACAGATGGCTCTCACCTTAGCGCCGCGCACATTCGTTTCAAAAAATGGAAGAGTTTCACGGATTGAGGGCGGGTCGTTTTCAAAATGCGATTCTCGCTTTAGCGCCGCGCACATCCGGCTGAAAAATGCAAGAGCTTCACGGATTGAGGGCGGGTCGTTTTCACAACGTGGTTCTCGCCTCAGCGCCGCGCACACTCGTTTTCAAAATGTACAAGAGTTTCACATATGAGGGCGGGTCGTTTTCAAAATATGGCTCTCGCTTTAGCGTCGCGCTCACTCGTCTCAAAAATGTGCAAGGGTTTCACGTATTTCCGTGATCAACGTACCAGAAATGGCGTCTGGGAAAATTGAGAAATATGAGGAGGCAACGGTTACGTTGATTCGCGGTGTCGAAGTCTCAGGAATGGCGTTCTGGTACGATTCGGGATCGTCAAGACGCAACAATCAGGTTGACCCGTGGCGTGGGAGTCCCGAGAATGTTGTGTTGGCATGTTTCAGTGTCTTCAGACGGTTGTCTTCCAACGAGGCAGATCCCCCAGTGGAAATGAACCGTTGTAGGGGCCTGTGAACACGGAGCTTGGTGGGATGGTTTATCCCAACATCGTTGATGACTCTTGGGTTTACATTAGCCCTCCTCCTCCTCCTCCTCGTCCTCCCCGTCCGTATCCTCATCCCCCTCATCTCCCCTCTCCCGTTGCTCCCCCTCATCCTCCCCCTCCTCCCCCCACTCCTCCCCCTCTCCCTCATCCTACTTCTGCCCCTCCTCCTCGTCCTGCTCCTGCTCGTGCTCCTGCTCCTCCTGCTCCTGTTCCTCCTCGTCCTCGACACTGGCGCCGATCATGGCGCGCTCCGCGCGCCAGGGAGGGGGGTCTTCTTTCCTCCTCTCCTCCTCCTCCTCCTCCTCCTCTCCTCCTCCTCCTCCTCTTCCTCCTCCTCCTCCTCCTCTCCTCCTCCTCATCCTTCTCCTCCTCCTCCTCCTCCTCCTCCTCTCTCCTCCTCCTCCTCCTCCCCCTGCTCCTCCTGATCGTCCTCCTCCTCCTCCTCCTGCTCCTCCTCCTCCTCCTCTTCCCCCTCCTCCCCGTCCCTCTCCTTCTCCCTTCATTTCCCCTCTCACCCTGCTCCCCTTCCTCCTCCCCCTCCTCTCCTCCTCCTCCTTCTCCTTCCCTTCCCCGTGCTCCTCCTCCTCCTCCTCCTCCTCCTGCTGCTGCTCCTCCTCATCCTCCTCCTCCCTCACCTCCCCCCCTCCCTCCTCGTCCTCCAGGGGACCGCCCGGATGTCTTCGGTGGGCGGTGGAAGTCCCCGGGTTTACGGCGCCTCTGGCGCCGAAGTTGGCGCGCTCCGCGCGCCAGGGATGGGGGTACGCTTCTTCTTAGTACTAGTAGTAGCGTTCGTCGTCTGCTTCTGCTACGTATGATTGTGTTGATTGTCATTGGTATTGTTCGTAGTCCTCTTCTTCGTGTGCTTACCACCCTTCTTCGTGTTTCTTTTAAGTATACGATATGGTAGTAGTATTCGTAGTAATAGTGTTATCATGAGTAACGATAGTATCAGAACTGCTATGTTTATGTTTGATAGCACTCGTGTGTGATTCGCCGTCGTCTTCGCAATATACGTCGTATTGTGCATATTATTAGTATCATTCCTATGCTTAGCATTCGTATAGTTACGTTTAGTGTTAGTATCCAAATAGGCTTGCCATATAGGAGCCCTAGCTAATCATAAGCACGTGGTCTTTAGGACCCCCCCCCGTTTCCAATGGCACCCTTCCTTGTTTCCAATGGCACCCCCCCTGTTTCCAATGGCACGTGCTTGCTTGCTCTTGCGTGCTTGCTCTCGCTTGCTTGCTCTTGCTTGCCCATGCGTGTTTGCCCTTGAGCGCTGGTTAGTGCTTGCTTGTGATTGCTCGTTTGCGCTTACTTGCTTCCGCTTGCTTGCTTGCGCTTGCTTGATGTTGCTCCTCCCGTTCTCCTCCCGTCCTGCTCCCGTCCTCCTGTCGTCCTCCCATCCTCCTCTCGACCTCCTGTCCTCCTTTCTATGTGGAGCCAACGCTGGCTGAGATTTGTTTTATTATTACTATTGGTAGTGTTATTAGTGGTGTCATTACTATGTTTCGTATTAGCATTGTGTGTAGCATTATTGTTCTTATCCTAAATAATATCATTCGGTTAGCATTAGATTCCTCCTCCGTCTCCTCATCCTGCTCTTCCGCCTCATCATCCGCCTCCCCCACCCGTATCTTCAGCATCATCAGATTCAGCATCAGCAGCATCAGCATCCTCATCAGCATCAACCGAATCATCATCACCAGCAGCATCATCATCAGCATCAGCATCAGCAACATCAGCAGCATCATCAGCATCATCATCAGCAGCGTCATCGTCATAGTCATCATCAGCCGCAGCAGCAGCATCATCATCAGCATACTCAGCATCAGCAGCAGCATCATAATCACCATCAGCAGCATAAACATGGTCATCCTACACATCGTCATCAGCAGCAGCATCATCAACATCATCATCATCATCAGCATCATCGACGTCATCAGCATGATCAGCATCACCACCATCAGCAGCATCATCATCACCAACAGCATCACAATCATCATCATCAGAACCATAGTCACCATCACCATCATCAGCAGAAGCATGATCATCAGCATCATCATCATCAACATCGTCAACATCAATTCGTTGTCAGCATTATTATCATCCACCCTATCCTCCTTCTCCTCCTCCACCCGCTCCTTCTCCCCCTCTTCCTCCTCCTCCTCCTCGTCCTCCTCATCATCCTCCTCCTCCTCGTCCTGCTCCTCCTCCTGCTCCTCGTCCTCCTCATCCTCCTCCTCGTCCTCCTCCTCGTCCTGCTCATGCTCCTACTCCTTCTCCTCCTCCTCGTCCTCCTCCTCCTCCTGCTCCTCCTCGTCCTCCGCCTCCTCGTCCTGCTCCTGCTGCTGCTGCTGCTGCTGCTGGTCCTCCTCCTCCATTCTTGTTTATTCGAACTAACTTCTCCCTGTCGTGCCCGCGCCCCGACAATGCCGCCTCGCTGGGAGGACACCAACCAACCAACCAAACTCCTACCTTCCTCCTCCGCCTCCGCTTCCTCCTCCTCCGCCTCCTCCTCCTCCACCCGCTCATCCTCATCCTCCTCCTCCACCCTCCTTCTCCTCCTCCTCCTCCTCCTTCTCCTCCTCCTCCTCCTGCTCCCCCTGCTTCTCCTTCTCCTCCCCCTCCTCCTCCTCCTCCTCCTCCTCCTCCTCCTCCTCCTCCTCCTCCTCCTCCCCCTCTTCCTCATCCTCCTTCTCCTCCTCATCCTCCTCATCCAATCCAAGAAATCCAGGCGTACCTCCAAGAGTATATGTCGCCGCGCCATCTGTTCCGACGCGCAGCCTTACTCGGAAATTTGAACATCTGCCTTACCAGTGGCGGGCTGTTGTTCAATCCCAGATCTTTTTTGAAGGTCGGGGACGACGTCGGGGTGGTGTGGTGCATGCGTTTTCTTTCACCTCTTCCCAGGGAAACGTCGAAAAGTGTATACACCACGGCCTCGTAGACACCAGGATCCGATTTCTTGTGCGAGTTTCAGTGCAGGGCCGGAAAAGCGTCGGTGTATAGAGTTCGGTTCCCTACAAGAAATCCAGGCGCACCTCCGAGACTATATGTCGCCGCGCCATCTGTTCCGACGCGCAGCCTTACGTCTTGGAGAGGGCGCCTCGGCCACCAGGGCAAACTCCGCCTCGGACGCAGGGTTCGCCGTGGGGTTTGCCGCGGTGCCTGCGTCTACTTAGGCGCGTTGAGAACCAACGGCGCGGCAACATTCTCATGGTGTTGACGCTTCTTTTCCTCTAGAGGTACATCGCCTGCACGGTCTGCGAGGAGCGGGTCGCAGCGCTCTTCCCGTCCGACGCCGACGCAGACCAGATCGGGCGCGTCGTGGAGGCGGAGATAGGCGACCAGGGCTGCACGTAAACGCTGTTCTGCTGGACTTCGGCCGTGATTTGTCGCTCCTGTTGGCAGGGAGGCACGGGAAGGCAGGGAGAGCAGAACGAAGAACATAACGAACACAAAACGAAAAGCAACGCTTACCCCCCCGTGCAAAAAGCAATTGGTGCTTTTCTACACACACACACACACACGTGCGAAAATCAACTGGTGTTAGGTGAGCCCCCCGGCCCCCCATTTCAATGTTGATCCCGCGACCGGCGAAGTTAACGGCACCGCATCGAACCTTGAAATTGCGGGGGTAGGGGGGGCGGAGGTTTGCAGAAAAGCACCAGCTGCTGTTTGCACGGGGTGGTAGGTCCAGCCCTGTAGGCGACCACCTCGGGGACGCCAAGACCCTCTGCGCCATGAAGCCGCTCGCGCGGCTCTTCCGGGGAAGACGGCTGGAGGTCTCGCCCAAGCCGGACGGGTCGGCCGAGCTCCGGGCGACCAAGAAGCACCCCCTCTACGAGGAGATCAACACCAGCGAGCTGGCCTTCCACTGGAAGTCCCTAGCGGTCCAGCACGCCTGCATGGAGACCTTCAGGAAGGACGGCGACGCGGTGGCGGCGGCCTTCGGGAAGGCCTACGCGGCCCTGGCCGAGGCCGCGGACGAGGCCGGCGACGCGAAGCAGCCTGGCGGGGCGCTGGCGCCCGTCTGGGCGGCGGCGCAGTCCGCGTGCCGGAAGGCCAGGATGTGCAGGGCCGCTGCCAAGCTGAACGGTGAGGCCGCGCCTCGCGGCGCCGAGCTGTGACCTGTCCTGGAGGCACGCGCTGGCCCCCAGCACCGCCGTGCCCGGGCGGCTGCTGCAGACTCCCGGAGTCGACGACGGTGCGCAGCCGTGCTCTCTTGGCCGAGGCCAGGAAGCCGGATGCACCGCCATGCCAAGGCACGGGATGTTCCTGTAGGAGGCCACATGTTCCTCCTCCTCCTCCTCATCATCATCATCCTCATCCGCCTCCTCCTCCACCTCCGCCTGCTCCTCCTCCTCCTCCTCCTCCTCCTCCTCCTCCTCCTCCGCCTCCTCCTCCTCCTCCTCCTCCTCCTCCTCCTCCCCCGCCTTCTCCTCCTCCGCCTCCTCCGCCTCCGCATCCTCCTCCTCGTATCCGGCGCTCTTTGTGCTTGTTCCCTGCGCTCTGCGCCTCGCGGTCTGGGCCAGGCGTCGAGATACCCCACCCCACCACCCCTTGGAAATCGTGAGGAGGAGGAGAAGGAGGAGGAAGAGGAGGAGAAAAAGGAGGAGAAGGAGCAGCAGGAGGAGCAGGGAGACGAGGGAGGAGGGGGAGGGGGAGGAGGAGGAGAGGAGGAGGAGGAGGAGGAGGAGGAGGAGGAGGAGAGGAGGAGGAGGAGGAGGAGGAGGAGGAGGAGGAGGAGGAGGAGAGGAGGAGGAGGAGGAGGGAGGAGGAGAGGAGGAGGGAGGAGGAGGAGGAGGAGGAGGAGGAGGAGGAAGAGGAGGAGGAAGAGGAGGAAGAGGAGGAGGAGGAGGAGGTCGTTGGGCTCGCATGTGGCCTCCGGTCCTGGCCGGGCCCCGCGGGGGTGCGTGGGTGCCTGCTGCGCCTGTGAGGGCCCTGGGCCTCCCCTCGCCGCGTGGCGGCCTCCAGGCCGGCAGCCGTGCCTCTGCCTCGGCCGCTGCGGGCCTACTCCGGGCCCCAGGGGCCGCCAGTCGAGGGAGAAACAAAAACGGCATGAACGTCAACTCCCGGCTCTCCGCGCGGACTCCTTGGGATCAGGAATGGAGCACTGCTCCCTGCGATCGCTGTCTTGGTCCTTGCTTGGCCGATCGGCGCGGGCCCTCGCACCCCCCCCCCCTTGAGTAGGTCCTGCTGTTTTGGGGGCGCCTGTTTCGAGCAGGTGGAGCCCCTCCCCCATAGGACGCACTGCTGCAAACAGTCGCCTCAAGCAGAGGTCTAAAGCCAGACCCCCCCCCTTCCGCCCACTGTCGAAACGCCGAATAAGAAAACGCCCACAATAGGTTTGTCCAATCCTATCGTTTTCCATCAGCGTCGGCCTCCTGGCCCTCCTTTTTGTGAGCCCTCTGGACTTCCACAAAGTTGAACCGGAAGGGAACACTGCCCCTTTTGTGGAAGGGCCGGAAGCCTTGGGAAGCCGTGGGGCCGCGGATGCCAACAGCAGCAGCGGAAATACAAAGCTTGACGTCACGTCGTGGATCGCAGGCCGCCGAGCTGCTCATGACTGGTTTCCGCACGCAGCCCCCGAGGACCCTCTCGTTTCCGATGGGGCAGCTTCCCGGCCTCCACAGCGCTCGTAGGGCACTGGAGCCCAGACGGAATGACAGAGGCCGAGATGGTACGTGAGGAGGAGGAAAGGGAAGGAGGAGGAGGAAGAGGAGGAGGAGGAGGAGGAGGAGGGAGGGGAGGAGGAGGAGGAGGAGGAGAGGAGGGGGAGGAGGAGGGGGGAGGAGGAGGAGGAGGAGGAGGAGGAGGAGGAGGAGGAGGAGGAGGAGGAGGAGGAGGAGGAGGAGGAGGAGGAGGAGGAGGAGGAGGAGGAGGGGAGGAGGAGGAGGAGGAGGAGGAGGAGGAGGAGGAGGGAGAGCGCCGGCACTGTCCTGGGCCCCGAGGCTGGCCCCAGAGGTCGAGATCGAGTCACCGAGCGCGTTCCACTACGCGCAGAGTGCCTGCTCGCAGGCGTCCGACAGCAAAACGTGTCTTCCTATATGTTGTGGATCGCAGAGCCCCCGCGGTGGACCCAGGCCGTCTGCGAGCAGTGCCTCTGCGAGCAGTGGAGCGCGCTTGTGGATCGAGGTCGAGGGAAAGATGAGGGGCTGACAGAAAAATGTCGTCGAAGAGTTTTGGGGAGGGGTCGCGGCTCCCACCCTGACCTGGGGGCCGCTTTCGGCGGCGAGCCCGGGGGGGTCGTGAGAAGGAGGAGGCCTTCTCAGCAGGCGGCTGGGCTTTTCGGAATCGGAGAAGAAAAAACGCCACACATTCCTTCTACCTATCAAATTACAAGGAAAAACCCGGCATGTCACCGACACCCCCCCCCCACATGGACCCCACATGAACCCCACATGCCCCCAAGAGAGCCCCACAATGCTTTGAGACGGCCCAAAATACCCCGAAGAGAGCGACACGAGGCCTACATCGGGAGCCCAAGACAGCAGAAGGCACTTCCGAGACGTCCTCTGCAAGGCCCAAGAGGCCCCAAGACGGCCCCAGAGTGCTCCAACAGGACCAAACATGGGCTCAAGACGGCCCAGGATGCCCCCGCAAAGACCTCCAATACGGCCTCAGCAGGCCAAAAACCTTAATTTTCCATTGGTTTTTGAACGATTCTGTGCTTATCGCCTTTTCTGGCCACGAACAGCCGAAGAATGCTCTGCGAGCTTCCGAGGTCGCCCCGAGATGGCCTCCAGGCGGCCCAATGGGGCCCCAAGATGGGCCAATAAAGCGCCAAGAAAGCCAGGGAGCGCCCAAAAGACCCCTAAAAGACATCCAAGAGAGCCCCAACAGAGCCACGGGATGCTTCAGAGAGGGCCCGAGAGAGCCCCAACACGGCCCCAGGACGGCCCAAGCCCCCCCAGACAGCCCACGAGGCCCGCAGGACAGCCCAAGAAGGCCCTCCGATGGTGTACAAAAGCACCAACAGGAGCTCCACTCAGTCTTAGAGCCGTCAAATTCATTACACTCTGATTGACCTGAGCGGCCCCCCCCCATCGCCCCTAGTTCTTCTCAAGCTCGCCCCAAGACGGCACATGAGACGGCACATGAGTCCCTGCAGACATCCCCACTAGAGCCCAAGAGGGTTCCAAGATAATTCTCGGCATGACCTACTCGGACGTCCGACAGCCCATGTCTCGTCCTTCTCCACCTGCTCCTCCTCCTCCTCCTCCTCCTCCGTTTCCCCCTCTCTGCCCCTCACCCCCTCCTCAACCTCCTTCTTTCCTCGAACTCGTCGCCTTCCCTCTCCTCCTCGTCCTCCTCCTCCTCCTCCATCGCCCTCTCCTCATTTGCCTCCACCGACTCCGGGATACGAAAACTGATACTCATTTTCTCAGGAGGTTTTCTCCTGATCCTCCTCCTCCTGCTCCTTCGAGGCTCTGAAGACATCCCCAAGAAAGTCCAAGAAGGTTCCAGCCTAACTCTCGACACCAACTCTTCGGAAATCTCCTCCCCACCTCCCTCTGCTGCTCCTCCTCCTCCGGCTCTTTATCCTCCTGCTCGTCTTGCTCCTCCTGTACTTCGTTGTCTTCCTCCTCCGCTGCCTCGTCAAAAGCCCCAGACCACAGACCGTTATCACAAGCTCCCCAAAAGCAACCAGGGGTGCCAAGACAGACCAAGGGGGCCCCGAAGAGGGCCCACGATAGGCTTCCAGGGTCTGGGGGACCACAATTTGATGCGCAGTTCTCCTTTCGTCTCAGGAGCCCACGGAACACTCGCGAGAACTAAAACATACCCCAGACCCCAGACTGTTATCACCAGCTCCCCAGAAGAACCCACGAGACTCCTGGACAGTCCAAGAAGACACCACCACGGGCCTACGACAAGGCTTCCTCTTGCTCTTCCTCCTCCTGCTCCTCTCTCTCCTGTAGTTCGCTGTTTTCCTTCTCCGCTGCCTTCTGAAGGGCCCCAGATCTGAGACTCATATCCAAGCTCCCCAAAGACACCAAGGCGCCACAAGACACACCTGGGGGGCCCCAAAGAGATCCCACGACAGGCTTCCAGGGTCTGGGGAACCACAATTTGATGCGCAGTCTCCCTCTCGTCTCAGGAGCCCACCTCCTTTGTCTCCTCTTTCTCCCTCTCCTCGTCCTCCTTCTCCTCCCTCTGTCCACCTTTCTCCCCCGCCGCACTCTCCTGGTCCTCCTCCTCCTCCTCCTCTCCTCTCTCCCCCGCCACCGCCTTCTTATACTCTTCCTTCAGCGACCCCGGGAACTAAAATATGATGCTCACCTTTCCTTCAAGCCCTCTCACCTCGTCCTCCACATCCTCCCATTCTCCTGCTCCCCCTTCCACCATGTTGCTTCATTTTCAGTACACTCCGACGCGTTGGCTCGAAGTGCGTAGATCTCCCATTCTTGAGATGTGCACATGTGCACCGTGATCATTTGCTTTGCGCCATGGGTCCCAAGCGGGCAGCATGCTTTACGTGCTCTTTCTGCGAGGCCGACCTGCTGCGCGACTCGGTCACACCTACCCAGCTACACAAAGCCACGAAGACTTGCAAATAAGGCGCCACACGGGCATCTTTCACGTGCTCGGTGTGCACGACCGACCTTCCGCGCGACTCTTTCACACCCACTCAGCTACACAAAGCCACAACGATTTGCAAAACATGCGCCGCCCTCCAAAACAGACCTGCGGCGGCCTTGCCCTGTACTCGCTGTCGCGAGGAGCTTTCCCCCGAGGACTTCGCAGTTCGACACCGACACAGAACCGAGAGAATGTGCAAGGCATGTGTTGCGCAGCCGGCTTCATTTTGTGTCTGTGTTCGATGCGGAGAAACATTGCCGCTGGGCGACTTTGCTCCCAGATGGCACGCCCGCAACCAGAAGATATGCCGACACTGCTGTCCACTAGGACGCCCGGAGGACGCCTTTTCCCGAATCGATTTGGGTGCCATGACGCACACATGCACCCATTGCTCCGCAAAGCTGTTCCACTGCGAAGGCGATGGTTTCTGCTGCGGCGCTGGGAAGCATTACGTGGATTTCACAAAGTACTACAAGCCCCCTGCAGGCGCTCTCATGAAAACGCTCGGCACTGCGTTGCTGTACAACGACGAACAGGGACGCCC